ACGTATGATAATCCCACTATATAAAAAAAATTTCATATTTGGACACACTGTAAATATCCCATACACCTTTTTCTAGCTTTGGTACAATCTTCTAGTCTTTTTTACCATTTGAGCTGATGTACCTAGTACATTTCTCAACTGTGAGGTCAATTAAATCGATCAGTCAATAACGTTGAACTTCCTTTAAGACTCCCAACACACCTTCATTCAAGGATCACCATATATGAACACACACTGAATGAAAGATATTAACCTGAGGAAGTGAACTTCACTAGAAGGAAAAGTTCACAAAGATGAATTCAGAATAAAATCAATGGAAACCGGATAAATACCCGACGGGACAAGTATATTCTTCCAGATGAGTGTTGGTTATAGCTGTGTTAAGAGGCCACCAACACTTCTGACCTAACATGGGGTCATTGCAAGGTCGCGAGGCCTGTTCACTAATTTTTATTCCCCAGGAGAAGATTTAAACCACAACACGAACCCTGGAATAGCTCAACATTGCAAAAACAAAAGAGACAGGGACGCCTGCTTTAGAAATGCTTCAATGTCACCCCGTGTTAGCTCCCGGCTACATGCTAACCGGCCAGAGCTTCCGTATCCAAAGTTTTTAAATATCATTGGGATATTAGCGTAAAGCGGCAGTCCTACCCGAATAACCGGTCCGTGTCCGAGCCAGGCTTCGGAACCCTGCGGTTGATACACGGGAAAGGGCTCGGAACATGGTGCCGAACGACAGATGCTAACCGTCCTGCGTGTAAAAAGGGAGACTGTGGACGGACAGACACGATGAGGAAGCCAATCGTCACGTGACTCACGGAAAAAGCCGAACGCTGAAAGATGACGGCCTGACGTCATGTAATCATCTTCTTCTTTGTTAGATTGGCGGATTGCAAACAATTTTTAGCTACATACCGCCACCTACTGCACATGAGTGTGTAGCTCTATAGTTCAACCTAATACATTCAATTTATTTTTATTTTTGTGTTATGTAAAAATAAAAACAATGCTTTATTTATAACCAAATTTTCCTCCCTATCTCCATCTTTCCCTGAAATTCCTTTAATAGTCCATTCTCCCCCTTTTTCCATAATTACTTCTCTCATCCTCTCTCTTTCAGTTTCATATTTAATGCAATCCATCAAAACATGATCCATATTTTCTTTTCTTTCACAACCCTTGCACATAAATCATTATTTCTCTTCCCTAGTACAGAACTCTGGAACCAGAAGACCTGAGTGGTCTGAGAGGTTGATACACCGACAACAAATCTGTTATGTATTGAGGTGCTGATCCAAGGGTGTGACTTTGTAATGAAAGTTGGTGGGGACACTATAAGGCAGAGGTCTACATTTAGTTCTAGTTCATCTGATAATTTTCATAACAACCTAGCCAGAACCAATCAAAATTACCACCACAAGAAATAAAGCTGAACAGTTAATATCATTTTTGTTTTGTTTTTGGTCAGCCTCACTCATAATTTCATATTTGTATTATATGATTAAAGGCTTTGTTGTATGGCTGTGTTGAGGTGATTTTTTTTTTCTTCCTGTTACTATATCACCTCTCCAATACGGAAGAGGATTAGGGCCACTGGAAAAAAAAAAGTTAACTGATTTTTAAATTTTATTTCAGTTTAGTATGGGGGAAAAAAAGACATTTTTTCTCAGAATTCTGACTTTTTTCTTAGAATTCTGACTGAATTCTGACCATACTAAACTGAAATAAAATTTTATTCTAATCCTCTTCCATATCCCAACGATTATTTGATTGACAGAGAAAAAAAACAAAATTAAACAGGAGTCAGAGATCTTTTATTTATCAATGGATATAACCAGAGAGACCACAGAAAACTACCTCCGTTCTCTAGCCTTCAGGAGCCGTCTGAAGACCTTTCAGTTACCTCAGCTGTTTTAGAGACGCACTGTCCACACTCTTTAATCTTCCTTTGCAAGGCACACCTTAACAAAAGCCGGAATCTTGCTTTAGACCCAAACCTCCTTATCTATCACAAGCCTCCTTGCACCACAAGGGAGTTTGTAAGAACCTGCTGCCACCAGACTCTATAATAATGCACTATAACCAAAATAACTCCTGTAAAAACCACTGTGCAGCTATATTATAGTTTTTTATTTACTGACTGTGCAATATTCTGTGCAACATGCTGACTGTGCAATATATGTGAATATAATAGTCATACCACTACCTCACCATTGCTCCCTACCTACTACACTTTAACATAAAAGTAAATCCACCTGTATATAATCACTCTGGATTGCACATATTTTAATTTTTTATTTGTTATTTCTTTATTTCTTATTTTGATTTTGTTTTTCATTGTGTGCAATACATGTACAGTTGCACCTTAATCCTTATTTATCTTGATATACTGTAAATAACTGGATATACTGTATATATATTGTTTATTGTTTATTCTTAATGCACCTTTTTCCTCCTTGTTTGCACCTTCTTTGACTTCTATGCCAATATGTCACAAGTGAATTTCTCTGCTGTGAGATCAATAAAGCTCTTCTGATCTAAGAAACCGTGATGTCATACCACTGTTGTGAATTCGTATTCTCAAAGAAAAAATCTGTATTCTCAAAGAGCCGCTAAAGTTTGTGTTCCTGAAGAATAAATAACAAATTTAAACGTGAAATTTGTATTCATTAGTTATGAAAGTTGTAACTATTTAAACTATATGATTAATGTTTTGCATAAGATTTCAAATTTTATGAGTTTACAAATGCTTGTTATGCACAACTTCTGACTAATATGTACACAACTGTGCTTTTATGTACACGTTTATTTTGATACTGATCTTAGCTTATAGAAAGAATCCCAGCAGAATAAAGTTTCATGGGTTTTTCTTTTTTTTTTTTTGCAAAGCACTGTAAACGGCTCTATTTTGTGCAGTTCCGTTGTTTACCAGGAGGGGGAAGCAGAGCAGCCGCGGCGCCATCTCTACCACGAAACGTAAAAGAGAAGAAAACGCGGTGACGTCATGATGTTTACGGCTGATGGTTGTTGCTAACCAGCAGCTTCTTGTTCGGGTGGTTGGCTCTTTCCAGCTCGTAAACGCATTTAGGACGATGATGAAGAAACGTGGGATGGTTGTAGTGCCTCACAATGCTTTCACATTTCTAAGGTAAATTTTTTTTTTGTTATTTAACAAGAAGTTCTGATAGGAAGGAATTAGCAAACCGGCTACATGCCGTTGGTAAAAACAGTAAACAGCAGCCATATCCAGCAGGTATTATTGAATCTCCTGCTTCATCGCTCCATCTCTCAGTCAAACAGACATGCAAAAAGAAAACACCGCCACTCATTTAGATCACCATTATGATGTAACTTTTTTACTTGTGTGTAGTTTTCACCTTTCCATCACCACATGTCTGCAGATTTCCTTGTGAATCTGACAGTTTCTGATATTTGACCTGATGTGTGACCTTCCAGCTGAGTCGCTGAAAGTCCTGCTGGAGTGAAAATATCAGCCTGGAGCTTCATCTTCTCATTGTTGTTTAATTAAGAGTCGAAGGCTGAAAGATTAGCAGTTCAATCCTCTGATTGACGACTGACTGTTTAGATCAGGTAATAATTTGCTGCTTTGTTGGATCCTTTAGTCGTCCCCTGGTTATCTGATCGGTTCTTCCTCTTTTTATCTTTACTGATCTGATGGTGATTTTTTATTTTTTTTGCGTTATTTATTTGATTTTAGTAAGTAAAGCGTATTTTGATAACACTTTTCACACATAACAGAATCACAGTGTTCACAGTCCAACTAAAGCTACATGTAAATTCTACTTACAAGCCTGCTTATATTAAAAATGTCTTTTGTTGTTTTCTAAAACCATCAATGGAGATCATGCAGCGAGAGCAAAGTGAGAAAGGACAGCCAGAGCCCCATCTCTAGTTTTAAAATGAGTCCGAACTATGATTTATATCGCTTAAGGTCTAATAGTAACCTCATTTAACCCTATTCTTCAGATTTATCTATGCCTTAATAGAGAAAAATTAAATTAAAAGGAAATTTTTCACTTTGACATTATATAAAAATTCCTATTATGACCAGAAAGGTATCATGATATTCGCTGGTCAGCCATCAGGCCATCAAACGCTGTTAATCTGCTCCATGTAGATCCATGAAGGTCAAGATCAACGTTTTATCATTTATGCTGCTTGGATTCAAAACAGAAGTGATCTCTTCCTTTGGTCCTTTGTAGAAGTCTTTCTGCTGCATCTTGAACCGTACGGAGACAAAACGACTGTTACTGTGGTCCAAACGAGACACGGTCAAAGCGCCAACAAAAGAGATCAATTATAGTTTTATTTTTTTAAGGCCAATACCGATTTATTTCACATCAATTTAACCGATCCCCAATATTTGCTTCAGGTTTTTATTTTTTATCTATAATAAAAATAACACAAGACTCAATTTAAACCTATAATAAACTTTATAATAAATCCACCAAAACATTAACAATGGAGAGCAAACAGAGGTATTCCTGCTGAATGCACAAATGAATCGACAAACACATTCACCTATAGGTGCTTCTCTAATGAACAGCCGTTCCTAAATCCTGTTTCGGCTCCTATAATCTCAGCTTTGAAAGTTTTTCTCACATGATAAAAAATTAAGGTCCTTTTTTTCATGATGATGCTGAAAGGATGAGGAAGTATTGAAAACAGCGTGACAGAAAACTACGTTTTCAGGAATTTGTCGTTTAGGTGTAAAACTCTGGATTTATTCACATTTAGTTTTAAATGACTGTTTATTTAAAATAAATGTAATGAAAACATTAACATCGTTTAGATATTTACTCAGAATATATTGGTGTAGTTGATGAACTCAAACTTTGTATGAATACAAAAAAATGAAAATGAACTAATTATTTTGCTGCTTTGACATAATTTTGTAATTTTCCCATAAAGTGAATCTGAGTTTTTATTCACTACAAGCTGTATTCATTGAGATGATGGTTCATTTGATATTTTTAAGGTTTAAGTAAATGAGAACCTTCTGATGAGGTGACTTATTAAACTGTTTTCAGGGGACAGTGATGCCGTAGCCGAACGCAGCGTCCCCCGCCCAGGAGGGGAGAGCTTCCCTTTAAAAATGGCCACTGAACTTCATGAGACCATATTCATGGCCAAGCAGGAGCGCCACAAAAACCTGTTCCTGAACTACAAGAATTTGAACATTTTCCCCGTAGAGCTGCTAAAAGATGAAGGACTGCATTTTCTGGAGAGATTGTACATGAAGAGAAACTCGCTCACCACACTGGTATCCTCACAGAGCGCAACAATTTGGGATTAAAATGAAAAAATTATGTTGACTTCCTGTGAGATTACATCTGATTTCTGCCTCTTCCTTGTTTTCATCAGCCTGATAATCTCGCTCAGAAGCTCCCAAATCTCATTGAACTGTAAGTGGTCTTCTAAGAAGCTCTGCCATTTTTGTTTCAATGCAGTTTTCTGTTTCGTTGACTTTCTATCCTTTCAATTCCAGGTACCTCCATTCTAACAACATCGTCATTATTCCTGAAGGTAGGGCCGTAACAGTCCAAACATGTGTCCAAGGGTTTCACAGAGGTTGGATATAAAAAGTGTTTTGATTTCCAGCCATTGGAAACCTGGCGCGGCTGCAGTCGTTGGACCTGAGCAACAATGCGCTCCAGATGCTCTGTCCAGAAATCGGCCGGCTGAGGTCGCTGCGACACCTCAGACTGTCCAATAATCAACTGAAATGCCTTCCTCCAGGTGAAACCAGCCTGCCCAGAACTCCCTTTACAAAGTTTTTTACTGTAACTTGGATGAAAATCTCAGGGAACCTCCTTATTGGATTGTTCAGATTAGATTAGATTACATGAGGTTTATTGATCTCACAGCAGAGAAATTCACTGGTCACATATTGGCATAGTAATTAAAGAAGGTGCAAACAAGGAGGAAAAAGGTGCATTAAGAATAAACAATATATATACAGTATATCCAGGTATATTCATGCATTTTGCCTCATCTGTGCTGAAACGCCATCTGAGAGCTTTTCTTAGCCAGCAGGTGGCATCAGGGTTCTTTAGCTAAAATCTTAATCTCATAAGCTCCTGTTTTGCCATAATGTTTGTGTTCAGCAGGAATTGTTACCTGTCACACTATCACTTAAAAAAAAAATGGAATTTGCTCTGAGGATTGAGTTTTCATTGGTTGTAACAATTTTAATTTATTTAATTTTTTGAATGTTTGAATTTTGCACTCGAAGGACTCATTCAAGTTTTCCTCAAGCAGAAATCGGTGACCTGGTGGACCTGGAGACTTTGGACTTGGCGGTGAACCAACTGGTTTCCTTGCCGGACCGCCTGCATCGCTGCCTCTCCCTGCAGAACCTCACAGTGGACCACAACCTTCTGAGCCACGTCCCCCGGCAGCTCTGCTGGCTGCACCGCCTTAACCAGCTCTCCATGGCGGCCAACCGCCTGACCTTCCTCCCACTCGGTCAGTGCGCTGAACTCTCTGATGGGCAGCAGAGTTTAGGACATCTTTAACCTTCTGCCTCTTTTAGATCTGGGCCGATCCAGAGAGCTGCAGTTTGTGTTTGTGGATAACAACGTGGACCTGAAGGGCCTCCCCTCCTACTTATACAACAAGGTCATCGGCTGCAGCGGGTAACTAGGGCTGCAACTAACTATTGTTTTTCAAATCAATCAATGATTATTTTATCGATTGATAATCAAATAGCAAACGGTTCGTTAAAAGATTTTTTGCAAAATTGAACCAGGTTAAACTTAATCTTTTCCACTTTGAGAGTTCTGGATAAAGCACACTAATACAAGCTTTTTTATTCTAAATGCAAAATGTTTACATATTGTTTTTTACAATTTTGCTATAATTACTCCTCTAAGTGGGTCGATCTGTCAGCTAAAGGCATGTTTTAGAGTCTATTGTTAAGGATTAATTGATTACTACATAAGGTGATAATTATTTCACTAATCAATAAATCACGATTGATCTGATTGCTTCAGCCCTACGGGTAACTTTCCGAACCCAGACACTTTCTAGTTATTTCAAAGAAACGTAAACTAAATCATTTTCTATCTATCTAACTTTATTCAGCAGCGATCAGCTGACAAACCAAAGTTCCTCCTGGAGAAATCAAGTTTTCTCTTCTATGCCTTCTGCCAGCCTGAAACGAGTGAAGCTCTCCTCTCTGATATGGATGTGTATAGATGTAGTTAGCATCCACGCCCGTCTGCACGGCCTGAATTTTCTACACGCGCTCGATTTGTAACATAAAAATATGGCCCACGATTATCAGCACAAACTCGTTGCTTGTTTGTAATACTGAACAAATTATCCCACTGATATGTATTTAAGTCTAGTAGAAGTAAACAGCCGAGTGTAGAAAATGAGCCGATTCGGTCATCTGGACATCTGGACCCCCTCCAGGTTCCTGTCCAGCGCATTTCAACACCGACGCGGTTACACTGAAAGTTCTCAGAATGACATTGAAATCAGGCGGATATGCTAACTTTTAAACATCATAACGGGGCGTAGACACCAGTTTTAAAAAACATTTACCTCCTATTTGCACTTAATATACATGAGAATGCAAAAACTAGAACGCCACAGCCTTCACTGGAAGGTGAACAGATGAGCTGCCAGCACCTTTGAGGCAGGGATGAGGTGAGCAGGTTCAGAAGGATTCCCAAGCAATGAGTGTTTGTTTTTGTTTTTTTCCTGTCCAATAAAATGCAGCATCACTACTGTCTTTGCGTCGCCGCGGCGGCCAGTGAATCACAGCAACGTCTCTTTGGGTCACTGATAGGTTGCACACGAAGGGAGGATATGAACATGGGGGAAAGATTGAAGAGACAGGAGTGGACTTAATTAGCGTGGAGACAAACAAAAGAAACATGGCTGAAGCTCATAAAAGTTGCTAAATGGGAAAAGATCAGCAGAACATCTTTACATCTCCTAAACAAGTAGCTCAGAGCTGGAGACGGATCGATCCAGATACTGATTGTTTTAACAAATGCAGATATATTTAAATCTTAGAGGTGATATTTATTTTCTTCCTCCTTTTATATGATAAAAATGACAACAATAAATATTGCTTGTGATCTTAATGCATGGCTGCTGAATGCACTGATTAATTGATGCTGATACAAAAAAAAGAAATAAATCAGCCGATGTATCGCCATGTCTGCTTAGAAGATTAGAATTTTCATTAAAACTGTACGCGACATATTGACTGCTGTCAGTATGAAACAAACTCACCAGATTAATATCGAAAATATGCAGAAACTATTCAGCCAGAGCATCTCTGATCGGTCTGATGAAGGAGTCCAGCGATCCCTGTAAGGACTCTGAATTCCTCCTCCTCTAGTTTGTTCCCTTTCTCAGAAAATGATTCCTGCTTGTGAAATCAGTAGTTTTCTTTCATGTTGCGTTCTTCCTTCCTCAGGGAGCAACTATGGAATAAAACATTTTAAAAAAAAATAAAAACTGCTAAATTTGTTGGATAAAAAAAAAAAAAATGCATCCTTGGTAGAAAAGGTTCCCACAGTCTTAGCGTGTCTGCTCTAAATCTGAGCAGGTCAATTCCCAACGGAATCTTAAAATAAGATGATCAGATCATTTATTTCTTATTTTAGTATTCGACTGGCAAAGCGTCTCACTTACCTGCTCAATCCCAGAAAAATTCCACTTATTTGAAGAAAAACTGACTTGTGGAGCGATAAGTTAAACATGCTGGTTTTTCTAAAACTGAGTAAAAACCACAACAGCTCGTGAATTTCTTTGATTGATTAACACTAACGGAGCATAAAGAAGCATTTTGGTACTGAGTCAGTCAGTGAGGTTCACAGACCACAAGTAGCTTGTAAATCTCCAAATTTCTTGTGTTTACATCAGGAACAAATCTGGTTAGTGATGCACGATATAATCGGCCCCCTATCGGTATCGGCCTTAAAACTGAATATCGGACATCGGCC